TAGGGAGAACTAAAGGAAGTAAACAGAGCTGTACAAAAGCTCCTACCATCTTAGAAAATACATATATTGTAATAAACATAATGTTGTTAGAAACATGGACATTAGTGGTATTTCTGGTGAGGTCTCAGATGGAAATGAAGAATATGCTATTGGAAACTGGAGGAAAGGCTATCTTCGTTATAAAGCAGCATGAAACTTGGCCGATTGTTTATTGCTTTTGAATGAAAGATAGAACTTGGAAGCAATTAACTTGTATATTTAGCCAAGGAGATTTCAAAGCCAGGTATACCTATATATCTATGTACCTTCTATAGAAGGTACAGCCTGATTTATCCTACTGCTTATAGTATTTTGTGAGAAGGAAGAGATAAATTGAAAAATGACTTGTTAAGTACAAAGGAACCAGCCCTTGACGATTTGGAAAATTCTTATCCAACCCAGATATCACATTCTGGGAAAAGGGCCAAGGGTGTAGTTGGACAACCATTTATGAAGATAAACATTAGGCATGTGATTAGGCATGTGACTTATGGATCTAACAACCTCCTCAGCAGAAGCCATAAATAGAGATAGACTTATCCAGAAAGAATCTGTGGAGAACCCTGGTGTCTAGTAGCATGAATCCCCTCAATGTTAATGGAAAGCTAACAAGGGGTTTGAGGATTTTATACCAGCGGAAACACTGGCAACATGGACTGAGAGGGATAGAGATGGGATGAATGTCTCTTGTCTTAAGCCACCAATTTTGTTTTAATTTATTGTAGAAGTCCTGGGAAACTAATATAATGTCTAAGAGAAGGAAAATTTCATTGAATAGTTTCATGCCTAAGGAAGAATATGATCTTCTATAATGGAAGGCAGAAGCCTGAGATTACCTATGTGTGACTCTTTATTTTGAAAAGAACTCTAATGACACACTGAGTTCAAGCAGAAAAGATAAACACCTGTTTATATCCATATCCATTGCCATTGTCACATCTATTTCTATATGTCTGTATTTATAGTTATATCTATATTTTTATCTTCCTATAAAAGAATACATACATAACAGCATAGGAAAAGAAGGAAAAAACAAAATCAAGAGAACAAGATATACCAAGGAAGGTATAAAACAAACAAAAAAAAGTTCAAGAGCATTCTAGGTTAGATCACAGGTAAACACAGTGATTGACAACTCATATCCCTTTGAGAGCTACATAGGCAAATTAAATGAGAGAAACACATCAAATGTTTATATGTTGAACCCAAGAATATTGTTTATTTATTTATACAAATAAACATGTTCTCTCAAAATTTTCTTGAAACTACTATTTCAAAAATGCTTTCTGGCTCCATGAAAATGTATTTTCCCACTTTTGACTGAGACATTGTTATAGCTACATGGTCTTTGGGACAACTACTTAAACTCTACCATTGTATTGTAAAAACTGCCATAGATAATCAATAAAGGAATGAGCAAGCCTGTATTTTATTTACAGAAAAAAGAACAGGATAGATTTGGTCCATGAATCCTAGTTTACTGATTTCTGCTCTAGATAACAACAAAATTAATACTTTTCATCTCTACCAAAGAGATGTGTAGACATCTATGCAACATAGTGCTTGATGTTAAATTCCGAGTCTGGGCTACAAGTATATGGAATATGGCAGCAGCCATCCTACTGGGTAGGCTTCTGAAATGCTTAACCTTGATCCTTTTAACACACCATTGTCCTGATGTACAGTTCTGAATGTGTTAGTTTCCTACAAAAACATCTTCATAAGATTTCCTTGTAATAAGAGAAGAAAGTTCAAACCCCCAGCCTCCCAGCCATCAGGATTCCTTAAAATTACTCCCATTATGCTCCTGAACACATTTCGTTACATGGAAACACTGCCTTCATCCAGCCGCTTTCTCTGTGGTCATTTTTTTCCTTCCAATTTCATATGTCTGTATTCACAGCGAACTGAAATGTCACTTTTCCTCTTTTTCTAATAAAAATGTTCTTCCACCCCCAAGTAGATGCCTTTCTTGTTAGAACTTCCACAACATTTATTTTATTCGTACTTCATTTATGGCACTTTATTGTTACATTCTGTTTGTATTCTTTGTATGTCTTTTATTATAATAAGATTTTTGAAGATAGTGCTGGTGCTTCACTCATCTTTATTTGTTCTCAAAGTATCTCACTAGGTGCCAAATACATACTTTTTTGAATAAATGTATAAGACAAAACTGTAACATAGCTTTATTTGGAAGATGAGATTCTATTTTATTTTATTTATAGATTTATTCTTCGTCACCCCATTTTGCATAGAACTTAAATAATATTGCCTGAGGCTTTTTTTCTTGTTGCAGCTATATTATGCATATACAATGCATACATACACATATATGTATTCTTTCATATTCTTTAAAGAAATATTTGATTAAATATGGAGATCTTTAAAATAGAATGGATCAGTTTAGAATAAAATGAAGGCATGTTCAAGAACAAGGAGTGGGGCCATCAACAATAACCTTACTTTTCAGATTTTAATCTGTAAAAAATGATAAGAAAATGTCTCTCTTCTAGAGTTTCCATTAGGACTAAGTGCTTAGGACAGATGGGACATATAATTGGTACTTCAGTTAATTTTGAGTTTTAGAATCATTAATCAATAGTAAGTGGCAGCCACATATGTATCACACTATGTGTAATGGTGTATAAGTTCTAGACTCCTACACTTATCACTAATAACTTTCACTTTTCAAGTAACTTAGGCTAGAATTTTCATTTGTGTTACTTTTTATATTCTGTGGCTACAGCTGTTAACATTCCCCATCAGTGCAACCACAGCAAATACCACATATGGTTCCAATGGGGTGCCAATGACAGCAACTCTAAATACATTAATATGTATAGAAACTATAGTTAACTGAGCAATTTAGGAATAACACAAGTTGTAATAAGTCAGCATTACTATTTATGTTGAGTAAAGCAATTTACACCAGGATACAAAAATATTTAGAGATTGAAAAAAATCAGAATCTATTTTCAGCAGAGAAACACCATGGATCTTCAGTTTTTCTTTTCCTTTTAAAATAAAATATGCGATGCTTCTCTAGCTTTATCTTTTCATAAATTGAAGAAAAAATAGTTGAATTTATATTTAACAGATTAGAATTATCTTACTTTATTTCATAAATATAATTCATTAATAAATAAAACTTCATAGGACATAGCCAAAAAAAAACAACAACAACAAACCAAAAAAACAACGACAAAAACAGCCCATGCTAAAAGTCTGGAAAATTAGTCCATTTTCCTGCTATCCTTAGACATTAATAATTCTCTCTCTCTCTCTTTTTTTTTTCCACTGAATAACACACACTTTCCATTCCAAATGGGAATCCCTTGAGGATCAGGATTTTGATAATTGAGTTAGTTTCTGGTTTACGAAGCTGCTGCCTCTGTGGGAACTTAGTTTTGGAAGAGATAATAGCATTTAAGTCCACTGGTTGCTGCTACAAACTACCAAACTGTGCTCTCAAAACTTGGCACATACTTTTAATGTAGCATTTGATTATTTTAGTACTAGTTTAATGCGCATCAGTTTAATTGTAAATCAGATTTTCTACCATATCAAATTTAAAGAAGCTTCTCTAAATATGGTGTAAGTACTGAATCTCATGTTATTCTTACCAAGTAGCACAATTTAAATATAACTTTTGGAAAAGTATTGCTCTTGAGCCAACCAGGCAATAGATACTGCTGTTATGCCTCAGGGTCTTGAGTAACGGAATATCTAGTTGAATGCAAAGGGGAAAATAGCAACTAGCAAGGTGGAACACTTCAGGTCAGGTAGCCTGAAGCTAGATAGTAGGCCAAAATTGAAGTAGTAGCCTCTATATGCCAACGTCTAAATGAACAACCTTAAATGATTGCAGAAGTGCATTGTGGACTAAGACCACACATAAATGCAGTAGCCTGTAGTCTTATGAGTCAAGGGACCTCATTTCAAAAATAAATGTTTTTTGTTACAGACATATTTTCTCATAAGCCAGTGGAGTTGTAATCTACCTTTTTTACCTCTGTCATTACTGGCAAGCTGCTTAAATGGTTCTCAATTATATTTATCACCCTGAAAGGTCCAAATGTCCTGGATACTGGGCATTAGGTCTTGCAGAATTTTCACCCCTGTTGCCACGTTCAGTTGGATTTTGTACAATAGTGATCCTGAAAAAAATCAAGAAATTGCAATTCAAAAACAATAGCCAAATAAGTTATGCATGCATGTATAAACATATAAAGTACAGAAAGAACCTCTGAGATATCACTTGGAAAACTATTTGCAAGTAAATAATATAAAAGAATCTCTGGCATTTCACCGATATGTTTCAATTTGTTTGATATTAAAAATGCTATATAAAATTGTGATAAAATGATGATAATCACCTCTAGATATGCATCTCAGTGAACTGGAAACAGTTAAAAACATATTCATTTGTGCTATAGTTTTGCTTACTATAAATAACATTTTATCATTTACTCAAATTGGTAGGGGATGGAAAGAGAAAAAGAGGGAGAGAGAGAAAAAGAGAGAACAAAATGCAAGCCATGTGAGACAGGAGAACTGCAAAGAAAAATAAACAAATCGATTAATAATATAGATCAGAAGAATTATGACTCTTGCAATAGTTACAACTAGTGAAAATAAGAAAAGTGCTAAGAGGTCAATTATTACAAGATTACAGGAGTCACACCTTTAAAGGGGTTGAGTTTTTTAATTAAGGACATAAGAGTATTTAGAACTCTAAATTAGAAGACTTTTGGAGTTTGATAGACTTTGGATAAATCTTGAAATAGGTAGATCTGACCAAGTGGCTGGACAGAGGAGGGGCTGAGTGAGGGAGGGATTGCAGGAAATGCTGGGGGCTGTGGGAATAAAACCTTGCACCGATAATGTGGTGTATAACAGTTTTTTCTACCCCTGGCTGAGGCAGTGTGCAAGAGGCTGCATTTCCCAGGTAAACAAACCAGCCACAGCAGCATTGCCTGGGCAACCCGGGTAGTGAGGTGTGTTAGGACAGATTCCATCATGGACAGAGGCGCTGCGGGGGAAGCCTTGCCGGAGTTTGTGCAGACCGGAGAGCATGATTGTTGGAGGAAAAAACCCTCCAGTTCTGGATTGAAGGGGAAACTAGATGTCACAGAGGTGCGGGTACCTACAGGTTAATATGGCAGCAGAAGGAGGTACAGACCTGCCAATCTAACCTACAGATATTAGGTCTGGGGAAGCTGGGTACTCGCAGATCGCAAGTAATTTGGGGCCCAGAGATTTAAAGGAAAAGTTGAGCCTTGGCCCTTCTTCCCCTTGCTTGTCTAGTCAAGAGCCAGCTCTCTCTGAGGCCAAGCCCTGAACGCTGGGCTGCACCCCAGAGATGCACACCCCCTTGGCGGCCCACGGGAAACCACAGTTTCTTGGGAGCTACTGGGATGGTCCTGGGTCACACCCTGCTCTTCCTCTGAGATCAGTGCAAGGACACACCAGCTGGAGTGCTTGCTGGCTCCGGGGCTGGGGCAGCCTCAGGTGCTTGCCCCATAGACCTGCACGACCCACCGGTGGCAGCTTTCTGCTTCAGCCCCCGGCCCCAGATTTCTGTTGCAGCCCTCGGCCCCAGCTCGGTGATGATATCTGTGCCAGCACCACATGCATGCGTTCCAGGGTGTGAGCCAGAAGCTAGAGAGCAGGCCAACCAGCAGCCTCGTGCTGCAGGACAGATAGGGTTGGAGCGGCGTTTTTGGACTCTCTTTCTGGGTCTGGATATGGCTGGATTTTGTCTGTGTGATATTGGCATGGAGCCGGGAAGTCTCTGCTCTCCCAAACTGTGCAACCCTTTAATAAAGACCTTTTTCCTTCCCCACCAACCTTTGTTTTATGCCACTGTTTGGCGGAGGGAGCTGAACCCCACTTTGGTATGGTAACAATCTCACTTCCTGCATTTACAGCTTTGTTTGCTTGACCAAATTTATTAAATCAATTGAGGTTTGGTCTGTTTGCATGTAAAACTAGAATAATTTATCTCCTCAAAGAATTATTATAAAAATTAAGTGGAAAAGTAAATATTGGCTGCTCTGGGGTAATTAACATACTGCTAGCATCAGTAAATCCTGTTTAATGTTGGTGCTTTCTCGTTTTTTTTTTCTCTCAACATATGACAATTAGAACTGTACACATAATTGGAAATTCACTTTCACAGCCCAGAATTGGGATTATTTTTATGTTGATTTATAAAAAAAAATCCTAGTACTAATATAACCAACTTGTGAATTAAATTCTTCTTCTTACTGATTTAGTTAATTTTTCTATATATTATCTGAAACCTTAGTCTCTTTCACATGAAGAGCAGCTGTAGGTCAGTGTTTTCACTGTGGAATGTTGCTACTTAAATATATGGTTTATAATCTCATTTTGCTGGATTAATCTCACCCTGGTAATATTAGAAGTCTTTGGATTTTTAATTTTTATCTTGATCTCAATTATTATTATTATCTTTAAGAATGGGCCATGTATATTGCTGTGCAAAATACTTTTTGAAAACATGCTATAGATATTTGGTGTATGGAGCTTGAACCACAGTGTCCTGGACTTTTCTCCAAGTTGACCTTAGTATATTGTTCGTGTTTTTTAATATGGAGTTTCAGACCTCATTCTCATTTAGCTCATGGATTTCATCATGTGATTATGATAATCCTGAGATTTAATGCTAATGTCTTGCTGAAATTCTGACATACTCTGTATAGAGAGTCTACCTAATTTCATAATATAAGAATTGATGTCAGTCTAACATGTCTGATACCTAGCCATCACTACTTTCCTTTTCAAATATTTATCAGCTTCTTTAAATAATTCATTTAAAGATTTGGTCTGGATCCAGGTTAATTATCATGTATATTTTTACATTATTTTTGCTCTTTCAAAAATTGAAATCATTTCCCCGTACCTTTTCTTTCACAGCTTTCCAGCTAGCCATGATTACTCAAACATTACTATCAATGCCTTAACAGTTTTACTACAGATTTTCTCAGTGCCCTGATAGTAATTGTTTCTGTAGCTGAAGAGAAAATTCACTGGAGAATATATAAGTATTTTTTAACTATCTCCTCAATCACTTTTAGCTTCTGTTCAGATTATACATCCATCCTACCTTTTCTAGGATGAAGATTCTGCTCCTTGACAGAGGCCAGGAAAGTAAAAATCAGGTCTTATTACTCTCTGTCTGCTAAACTTACTACTCCAAGATGTGACTACTTCCTTTCTTTGTTTCTCTTACTGCAGTGTAACTAACAATTCTCATCCTCCTTCCCTTTTTCTACAGTATCATTTTTATGAAACTCAAGGCATTCTGGGTAGGTGTACTCGACCCTGGGAGCACATCATTCTTCTTTCACAAAGAAGTCAATTGTTAGGCATAACCAAATGTATTTATGACGCAGTTTTAGTTATAATCTATCTGTACTCAAATGTTTGCTTCCTGATAGCTATAGGAGATGTTGATTATACTCTATGTCAAATAAAATAATATTTGGACTCCTTTAAATACGATTTGAAAGGGTAAAGCTAGAGGACTTGTGGATTTCAACTTTGGTATTTACAGTATCTTCAGCCAAACCATATGACAGTACGTCCAAGAATATTCTAAGAATTTTGAAAGTAAAAATAAATAACCCCTCTCTTAAGTGGTGTTTCCTGGGAAACAGACTATGAGATGGAAATTTGAATGCCTACAGTTTATTAGAAAGTGCTCTTTGGATCAACACATATTATGGAATAAAGGAATAAAGACAGGGATCAGGTGAGGCTGTAATGCTCTGCAGGAAACTCTGAATTTGAGATGTCTTTATTTTAGGCAAAATGGTTAGGATTTCATACCCCTGCCTTGATCAGACAGAGATGAGGACTGTCCCTGAGATGAAGAGATAGCCTCAAGTGAAGTAGTTCCCTTCAGCTGAGGGCATTTTTTTGGAAAATAAATTTCCCAATCCTAAGAGCTAGCTGGAACACCTTAACGTTTACTTCAATTTACCTGTTGCATCACTAAGATTCATTATAATAATGAACTGACCCCATTTTTGAAATTCTGATGAATTCCTAGTCCTGGGGAAACTTATAGGAGGAAACTTGGAAGACAGACACTAAGCTCTCCACTGCAGTTGGTCTTAGCACTACAACTGATACTCATTATCTCTTCCCTTTACTACTTATTCTAGCATCCCTTCATCTTTGTTAGAAACTTTAATGAGTAGGTGCCTTACTAGGTGGGGTGACCTAGACACTCATCCTTAAAAATTCAATGTTCTCCCTCATCAATCCTTCCACATGCTGTATCTGCTATATTTATCATTATATGATAAAATGTGCATGCAGGTGATCCGTAAGAGCACATTTACTGAAATCTTGAATGTTTCTTATTCTTGGGGAATCTGGCCTTCAGTAACATTTTTTTTCCCCACACATCTATCTTGTTCCTAGGATTGTTGTGTTCTATTAATTACTGTCATTCCTCTGTGCGTCTCAGACTACCCTGGCTGTCATCTCACTTTGCTCATCCATAAAGCATGCCCAAACACTGTGCCTCTACTTGAGCTCTGTTATTAGGGGACTCAGTTCTGTAACATTTCTACTCTCATTTAGAGCCTACAGAGGATAATTCCTCTCAAGATTCTCCATAAAGCTGTTGTGTTCTTCCTAGAGCATTCCTTGTGTCTGCAGTAAATGGACTGTCTTTTACATCCCTTTATGGAGATTAGTCAGCTGGTGAGTTTTCTGTCCTCAGGCTGTGTATCTGTTCCAACATGCCAACTTTTCTGAGCCAGTGATCCACGTCCACTTTCAACCATGACAGTTCTAGAATTTCTGCTCCACATAATGTGGATTATCCATTACCGTTGGCTTCTAATAGTGATTCTAGTTGTGTATTAATACCATGTCCTGGGACCTTATTAAGGTGTTAAAACCTGTATCATGAGTGTTCCATATTGATCATTTCTCTTTTATCCAGATTTATATACCACACCCTTGGGCTCCATTCCCAAACATATTCTCTTTACTGCTGGTACATGTATTGCAGCTCTTGTAGGTTATTAGCTGACCTGAAATTTTTCTGACCCTGCAATCTTCATTATTGGTCTAGTGGCTAGGATAAGGGGTGAAGATGGAACTTAATGGGACAGTATATTTCCTGGTGAAGCAGGGGCCTCTGCATCCTCTTCATGAAAGGGGAAATTCAAGTTTAGCTGAGAGAAATGGGTTCCTTCTATAAGCCCAGAGAGTCCAGAGGGACTTGGGGTTTCAAAAATTTTGAGTATAGTAATCCTGATACTCTTATCTACAAACCCCAGTGTCTCACTCCTTCCTAATCAGGACTCTGATTTTAATTTATTAGTTCCACTAAACTCACAATAAAGTCCTGGGCAAGATCTTAAACTTCCATTGTTCTCTGGCTATATGAGATAATAGTCTCTTTAATAAGCTCCCAAGGGGACCATGTTACTTTCAAATTTTATCTTATGTTGGTAGAAAATCAACTTTATTGTTCTTTTCCAAATTATAAGTAGCCCTCCAAAGTAATCATTCACTTTCATGGTTCTTACAAGTACTTATTCCCCAAACCTCACAAACATCTGAGAATCTATTTACCAGTATATTCCTTTACATTGGGAAAATATCCCAGTTTATTACCAGTGAAAGCTGGGGGAATGAATGGCTCAGTCTGTAAGGGACCATCTGGGCATGCACTACAGCATCCACTGCTGATCTCATGGAGTACACAACAGAGCAGAATAAAACCTATTTCCATGGAGGGAGTGTGATCCAATAGGGCAATATAATGTAATGCTGCACTATCCATTATATTTTCAGTCAACATGTGATACACTGAGTGAAAAACAAAAAATTCTCAGAAAATATGCTCACGAAATTTTTAATATGTTGATAAAAAGCTTTCTCTTTGTTACTCACCTGGTTTCTAAAAAGTATTGAAGTAATAACAATAATCACACTTTCAGCTTCAGACAACAGAATACCCAAAAAGTAACTTAAATAATGTAGACAAGTATTACTTCACAGATCAGTGAAATGTGAGATAAGCATTTTACAGGGTTAGTTCAGAAACTCAACCATTTCAACAGGAGGCTAGGGACTTCTATATTTTCACTTAGTCCTTGGTGACACTCCAAGCATCGCATCCTGACAAAAGTGTTTCACAAACAAGAAGTGGTTGGGGGTAAACATGAATTCCTTTCTGTCCACTTATGTCAGAAATAAAAAAAAAATTAACTAAGTTCCTTATGCCCATTATCCAGAAATTTTTCACTTGATTACCCTTAGAAATTCAAATAAGGGATAAAATTACTATACTTGGCAGAAGCAAACTGATTAATTGCCTGAAATAGGGTTCATTGGTTCCCATACCTACTAAATTAGCACATATAAGGAAAGGAAGGGGGCAATAATTGTTCGATAGGCAAACAATGTCTTTTGCCACAGATACTGTAGGGAAATCATACTCGTGTAAATCAGGATGTGGAATATGAGATGCTCACATTTAAGGAATAGTGGGTCTGATATGTACTAAACAAAATTTTATTAACTCCCACATGAGCAATTTCTTAAATGTTGTGGGAAACACTGTTTTGAGAGAGTCTGAACAAACCTAATGTCTTAGTGATTATTATATGACATATTATTTAATATTTTGCATTAAAATACCATCATTTTAATGTATGGCATATCAATATGCCAATTGAAAATGATGACAACTAAATTTTTACTTCAATGTTTTTGTTCTTCTTAAGT